CACAAGAGTGTCCCACAAGAGTGTCCCACAAGAGTGTCCCACAAGAGTGTCCTACAAGAGTGTCCCACAAGTGGTCCTACAAGAGTGTGCCACAAGAGTGTTCCACAAGAGTGTCCTATAAGAATGTCCCACAAGGGTGTCCTACAAGAGTGTCCTACAAGAGTGTCCCACAAGAGTGGCCCATAAGAGTGTCCTACAAGAGTGTCCCACAATAGTTTCCTACAAGAGTGACCCCTAAGAGTGTCTTACAAGAGTGTCTTTTAAGAGTGTCCCAGAAGAGTGTCCCACAAGAGTGTCCTACAAGAGTGTCATTTGGACATATGTAGTTTTTCGAACGTGTTTGCATTCGGGTTGGTGGGTTCCATTTTGTTTTTTATGATGGATGAGAGGCCAAATAATTTTAATAAAATGATATAGGTGAGACGAGGGTATTAATAATCAGGAAATCTTTATATCGTTTATTTGGACGGAACTTACCTATTAAGGAATTTTGTTGTTTTAGGACCTTTTTTTCGCTTATAGCGCCGTGTTTGATTGGGCCTTTGTTCTTGGCTTGGCGATTGATCGTATATTTATCATTAATTAAGGAAGATTCAATGTTATTTAATATACCATGTATTTTATCATGAAATTATAATATAAAATCAAATGACAAGGAAATAAGAATAAATGTTGTACCTGCCACGAAATCTACATTTCGAGAATTATTAAGTATTGTGTCTACCACGAAATCTGTAGGTTCATCAAATGCTAGGCGTGCGACGAAATCTGCATTTCGAGGTTCATTACGTGTTGTATTTTCATTTGTGAGAGTTGGGTACCTGGTCTTAGGTATGCTCATCAGACCTGTGGAAATGATTGCAGAATATAGGAAAAAATTATCAATCATCAAATATAATTACAAAACATTACAAAACATTACAAAACATTGGAAATTATTATTTCACATTAAAACAAATTATTCCACATTAAAACAAATTATTCCACATTAAAACAAATGATCACACTGACCTCACAATCATGGCTCATGCTCTGCAGTGCACTAACACTTTTTGCTGCTTCTGTGTCACTTCTTCTGGTATTTCTTGCGAGGAGGCAAGGATGTGACTGAGCTACCTAACTCTGCAAGAACATCATCTGGAATAACCCCAGGCTCTTGAATAGCACCAGGTTCCAGAGCAAATCCAGCTTGGTCTGCCAATTTTTGGCGCCACATTTGCCAAGCATGTTTGTGAACAGTTATCAGCTTGGACTTCCAAGAATCTTCACTCTGTTGCTCAAAGCTCCTGCTGAAAGAGGAGATGGATAGTGCAGGCAAGAAGGAAGCTGTATTTCGAGGTTCCCAAAGTGTTGCACCTGCCACGAAGTCTACAAATGAACCATATATCCAAAAAATCCAATTCATTATATCTATTACAAAATCTAAGCTCCTCGATAATCACCGCCATATTCAAAGTGCTTTACCTACCACGAAAATTATATTTCGAAATAAAACAGCTCCGATTCCTTACATCTCTTACGAAAAAGAATCAATTTTAGAATATCAAATACATTCATTAAAAAAATACCCGCCGCAACCACCCAGATTTAGCAAGCCTACGCAATCGAAATGCATTTCAATTACTTCGAAAATTATAAATTTAATTATAAATAATAATGCATTAATCATTTATATCCATATATTTCAATAATCTAAGCATCAATTATATTTCATTCATTAAGAAAAAATCCTAATTTATCGATATTATTTAGAAAAAAAATATACAAATTATTTAAAATAATCCGATAATACGAGCAATCCGACCTACTATTTCGCGACCGGCCGACCGATTAGCCATAACGATAATAATAAGAGTAATAATATTATTAATATTACTAAATTAATAATAATAATCGTCGTAATCATAAAGATTTTTTTCCGCGATCGGCCGGCCGATCAAAGTATTAATCGACCGGTCGATCGACCGATTAATATCTAAACCGGCCGGCCGACCGAATAACGATAATAATCGGCCGGCCGACTACTTATTATTACAAAATTTTAGTCGACCGATCATCAACCACCTAATTAATCGAGAAATAACGAGCCGCAATAAACACGCAATAAATACTCCAATAAATTATTTATATATAAATATATTTATAATTTATATAAATATCATAAATATGTATAAATTATTAATTCGCCAAAATCCTCATAGTTTTAATAAAATATCTATATATTATCAAGAAAATAAATATATTAATATATATTTTGCCGCGACTAAAATCGCGATCACCTTCGATATACGCAATCGCGAAATCCGGATAAGTGTTGTTGTTACCAATCTATTGTTTAAAGAATTATATATAGATGTTTCTTTTATTATATTTCTTTTGCATGGCCATATGATTTCCGAGTTCACATTCAATGTGCCGCACAAGTTAAATCAATTTTCATGGCATACCTGCAGCAAGGCAAGTATTTGTCGGTTTATCAGTCTGGTTCCGGGATATTGTATTTTTGTGGAAAAGGCTCTTTGCAAGCACGACAGAAAAAACGCAAATTCAAAGCCAGCGAGAAAACCAGTATCCTTTAACACAAGCCGTGGTTGCCACGGATAAGTTGAACAATGATCAGGAGCAATCGTGCTGGAAGGATTGGTTTTGATTTCCACATGCATTTCCCTTTTCATGCATCGTCCCGTCAGAAGGCAATGCTTCTTGACGAAATGGAGCTTTCCAAGTGGCCCAGGATCCGCTGAGCATTCGGAGATATTCAGCGTGGCATTTCCAATGAGCGCGGTCGCAGGTGGAGGGAGAACCTCGCTTCATCGGGTCGACCCAAACAACTGTGTGAGGTCCATGGTGACTCCGCAAATGGTTCAAACTCTCGTCCAAGTACCTCAGCGACTTGAGCAAACTGAAATAGACGCGAAACCTGGTCATCCCTGAAAACTCGAAGTCCTGGCACCTCTTTGACGAGACAAACATAAGTATAAATAAGGCTTCTTTGTGCCATTCGACAAAGGACATCGGACGACCAAACCAATTCGAACTTCTTGGAACCATGTGTTCGTTGTTCCGGACGCACACCACACAGCATCCTCGACACCGGGCAGCTCGGTCCGCGTTCTTCGGAAACGGCTCGTTGGTCCAAGCGGCCGACCAGTCCACCACCTTGTCCACACCTCTTTGTCGCTGGACTTTGGTCCTTGGAGAAACACACCGGTACCGGTCGTACCGGTCGGGGCCGTACCGGTGGCGTCGAAGACATATTCTTTTTGCACCGTAGCGATCAGAGTGGCAAGCCTGACACGAGGTCTCAAGCGGTGTCTTGTGTGGTGTGTTTCACTATTTACTTGCTTGAAAAAGAGGCAATCTCGCCATGAAGACTGGGGGGTAGGAAGTAGGTATCAATGCAAGGATGATATATTTCCTGGGTCGGAACCCTTTCCCAGTTGACTCGGAGCGGTTTGAAGACTTATTTGGCCCTTAAAACACTCCCTTCCAGTCTCTCTTCCTGGTTTGCCATGCTTTGTCCACACATTGTCTCATTGGTTCCTATTCACACATTGTCTCGATGGATGGTCACATTCTTTCATGGCAAAACGATGCTCACGCACGACATGTCTCGCGGATCGATCAGCATCTGAAT